GGCTACGCCCCTGCACCGCTTCTTTCGCTCCTTTTTTTTTAATTCTCTCTTTTCTCTATCAAAATGTATGAGGTATTTGTGCGTCCAATCGCGCGGAGCGGGCCCCCCAGTAAGACGAGGCCGTTTCTCACGCATGTCATCTGCGGTTGCTGGTATGCGGGCTATGCCTTGCTTGGTTTGCTTGTAATCATACACGCGCGCGGGCTCGAAAACAAGGACAGGCAAGACAAGCGCTCGTTGCGATTCTGGGAACCCTTCTTGGGGAGGGGCCCCACGGCGGAATACTACTAGTAGTAGAATAACAAAAAAAAAAGGGAAGGACAAGCTATCCCGATGCTGGGCTGGCTGGTTTGTTGCATCACATATAAAACAAGCCCTTTCACATAATTGACCGGAGCCGTTGCCTTTTGACTGAACGCGTTCCATCTTCTCCTCTCTTTCCTTCACCTCTCCATTGTCTTCTCTGAGAGCCAACCTGTTTAATTCAAAACCGCGCTCTCACTCCCCCTTCACATGGACAACGAAGAGAAGGGAATCCCCCGTGTTCGCTTTGGGGAGCTCAATCTTCCCGCCGAGGCAGATGGATACGTGACACACGACCGGCGCCATGAGCGGCCGTTGTCAAGACGGTCCAGCGTGGGCAGCATGTCTATTCGCAGTACTGGCGCGCGTACGGTTCAGCCAGAAACTGCTCTGCCCATTGCCTACCGCACACTGTCCATTGAGGTTGATGAGCGTCAACTTGAGAAACAAGCCGAGACGAAAAAGGCAAAGGAGAAAGCAGCAATTGGTGATTTAAGCCTTTTGTTTCGAAGTTGTCGTACGATATGATTATACTGACTCTGGAGTATAGATGTGGCGGGCTTGGAATGGCATACTCTCGCTGTCCCCGACTTGTGCCAGCGCCTGTCTGTCAACACTGAGCGCGGTCTCTCCGACGATGACGTCAAGCGACTCAGGAATCAGTATGGTCTGAATAAGATCACTCCTCCTCCCTCTGGACTCCTAGGCAAGCTGATCGGATACTTCTTTGGTGGTTTCGGAAGTATCCTGATCGTTGCTGGTATCCTGGTATTCGTCTCTTGGAAGCCACTGGGCAGTCCCCCAGCGACAGCTAACTTGGCGCTTGCCTGTGTGTTGATTGCTGTCTGGCTCATCCAGGCGGGATTCAACGCGTGGCAGGATTGGTCGACGAGCAAGGTCATGGCTTCCATTGGTACTATGCTTCCAGATGCGTGTATTGTGGTTCGCGGCGGCTCGCAGACGAGCATCTCGGCTCAGGACTTGGTTCCCGGAGACGTCATCGTTATCAAGCAAGGAAACAAGCTTCCGGCTGATGTTCGTTTTATCGAAGTCTCTGGAGATGCCATGTTTGATCGCGCTATTCTTACGGGTAAGTTGTTGTTCTGTGTGTGTTTTGTATGATAGAGATTAACGCCCCACAGGTGAATCCGAACCAGTCAATGCCACCGTCAACCGAACCGAAGACAATTATCTCGAAACCAACAATATCGGTATGCAAGGAACGCATTGTGTTTCTGGTAGCTGTGTGGGTGTCTGTGTGGCGACTGGTGACGATACGATTTTCGGCCGCATCGCAAAGCTCACTTCCAACCCCACGACTGGCATGACCCCACTGCAAAAGGAAATTTGGCACTTTGTGCTCATCATTTCTGCCTTTATATTCTGTGTTGTGGTTTTTATCATCATTCTCTGGTAAGCTTGTTTGGGTTGTCGTTTTATGGAGCAGCTATACTTACACAGTTCAGGGCCGCTTGGCTGCGAAAAGCGCATCCCAAATGGATCAACGTGCCCCAGCTCATCGTCAGTTGCGTTTCTGCAGCCGTTGCTTGTACGAGTATCCCGATATCTATATGCTCTGAATGCACACTGACTCAATTCCCCTTCTAGTCATCCCTGAGGGTCTCCCCATCGCGCTCACCACGAGTTTGACCATTGTCGCCAACATGATGCGCAAGAACAAGATTCTCTGCAAGTCCCTCAAGACTGTCGAAACACTGGGCTCTGTCTCCGTCATTTGCTCTGACAAAACCGGTACTCTGACCAAGAACAAGATGGTGGTCACCGATGTGTGTTCTGTGGATAAAACCTACACTGTCGACACAGCGCTCAGAGAAATGGCCGCTGCTGAGTTCGTAACTGATGGCACAGTACCAAGGCCTGCCGCTATCGACCAGATCCGCATCATCGGTGGTCTCTGCAACTCTGGTGAATTCGACGCCGCAACCATGCACTTGCCTATTGCTGATCGCAAGATCAACGGCGACGCAACGGACCAGGCTATTCTCCGACTCTCCGAGTCCTTTGGCTCCGTCAGTGAGCTCCGGAACCAGTGGAAAAAGACTTTTGAGATTGCCTTCAACAGCAAGAACAAGTTCATGGTTAGAATCATGGTCGCTGCTGATCAGCCCAGCACCAGCAGCGTTGGTACTCTCCTCGTCAAAGGCGCCCCGGATATCCTCCTGCCCCGCTGCGAACTCGCTCTGAACGAACAGGGAGAAGAAGTCGTCATGTCGGATCTCAAACGCCAGTGGATCGAAGGTGTCAAGGACGACTGGTCGCGCCAGGGCAAACGTGTCATCCTTCTCGCCCGCAAGCCCACCATTGTCGCTACTTCCGGGGCCCAAGAAAAAGACGTCCTCGCCTCAATCCGCGACGGTCTCACATTCGTAGGCATTGTCGGCATCGTAGACCCCCCTCGTGACGAAATCTCAGACGTCGTGCGTATCCTTCGTGGCGCCTCAATCCGCATCTTCATGGTTACCGGCGACTTCAAGCTCACTGCCCAGGCAATTGCTGAGGAATGCGGCATCATTTCCAACTCTTCAATTGTAGATGATATCTCTGCTTTGGACCGCTATGGCAATTCTACTGGCAAGACGAAGCAGGCGATTGTCCTGAGCGGTTCCGAGCTTATTACGCTCAACGAGGCTCAGTGGAATCAGCTCTGTGCATACCAGGAGATTGTGTTTGCAAGGACTACACCTGAGCAGAAGCTTCGTATTGTCAAGGAGTTCCAGGCCAGAGAGAATGTTGTAGGCATGACGGGTGATGGTGTTAACGACGCTCCCTCGCTCAAAGCCGCTGATATTGGTATCGCTATGGGCGGTGGCTCAGACATTGCCATTGAGGCTTCCGACATGGTTCTTCTCGACTCGTTTGCCGCTGTTGTGGAAGCAGTCAAGTACGGACGCCTTGTTTTCGACAACCTCAAGAAGACTATTGTGTACCTGCTGCCAGCCGGTAGTTTCAGTGAGCTCTGGCCTGTCGTTACCAACGTTGTCTTCGGTATCCCGCAGATTCTGTCTTCCTTCCTCATGGTAAGTAACATAATTCACAGAGAGTTTTTTTTAAGTACACAAGCTAATTTTTACTAGATCATCATCTGCTGTCTCACCGATTGCGCCGCCGCCGTCACACTCGCATACGAGAAGCCCGAAGCCGACGTCCTAGTCCGCCCTCCCCGCAACATCAAAAAGGACAAACTCGTCAACGCCCGCCTCATCTTCCACGCCTACTTCTTCGTCGGCCTCCTCCAATGTTTCCTCGCCTTCACAATGAGTTTCTGGTGGATCGAGCGCAACGGCATTCCCTTCACGGCCATGTGGCTCAAGTTTGGAAACTACGATCCACAATACAGCCCAGAGCTCATAACCAAACTTACAAACGAAGCGTCCAGTATCTACTTTGTCACTCTGGTCGTCATGTACGTTTTTCCCCAGTCACATTCCAACTTTCCAAACCCAACAAAGCTAACATTGGAGCGATAAGGCAACTTTTCAATCTCCTCGCAACACGTACCCGTCGCCTCAGCGTCTTCCAGCAACCCCCTATTTTCAACAAGGCCACTCAGAACCTCTCTCTTTTCCCCGCCATGATCTTCGCCATCGTAGTCGCCTTCATCTTCCTGTACATTCCTTCTCTGCAAAACGTCATCGGCACCACTACTGTCCCCGTCGAGCACTGGTTCCTACCCGCGGCATTTGGCACCGGCCTGCTGCTTCTCGACGAAGCGCGAAAGTACTGCGTGCGGAATTGGCCAAACGGCTTTCTCGCGAAGATTGCCTGGTAAATTCCAAACGCGAAAGTCTTTTTTTTTTCCCACGCGTAACCCATTTTACGAACATTGATTTAGTTAAATATAATGTAAATTTTAGACAGTATTGTGTACAAGAGCAGATGAATGATGGCTGGTTTGTGATGATTTGCGTGGGGGAATATGATACCCGTTGTTCTGTGAAGGAATGGAATTTGCTGGAAGGGCGGAATGGAATAGATCTTGAATAAATAGGTTGAATACGAAATAAACTAAAATGTTGAAAAGACAGAGAGCAGACCAAAGATGGAAAACTTTTTAGGTATCGGAGTGCTGTGCTGCATTGCGTTTCTCCATTGCAACTGTAATCCGTTATGCTGCTTCCTTACTTAGTATCGCAACTGTAAGTCAACATGCTACTTTCTTACTTATTTCAATTGTAGTTCGTTTTATTATTTCCTTATTTACTGTAACTGCAGTTCAATATGCTACTTTCCTACTAATTGCAACTGCAGTTCACTGTGCTGCTTCCTTACTTATTATTGCTACTGTAGTTCGCCGTTGCTGTTCTGCTGCATTCACTGCAACTACAGTCAGCGTAGTTCCTGATTTACTTGTTGCCCATGTACCATATAAGAATCCAAATCACCACAACTCGACTTCACTCTTCTTCTTCTTCACACCTCGCTCTACACCTATACCCCCCCTTTCCCTACGGGAAAAACCTAGATTTAGCCGATACCCATCAGGCCATGCCATCAGTATCGTCAGCATGGGATCTCTCTCTTCTACAACATGATTAATTAAGGTCTTCTCGACGAGCCTACTGGAAGGTCGATCTTGATTCTGTCACCTTTGGCAAGTAGACTGCTGAGATGGATAACATGGGCGCCATTCTGGACACTGGCACATCTGTGAGTGCTCTCCCCTCGGCCAACGTGTGCTTGAAGATTTACATGCTAACTACGAGAAGCTGATTAGTAGAATCCATACTTTTACTTATCGCAATCGCGCATCGGACAACACAGCTGCGGCACCTGTCCCTGAACCCAGCTCGGATACTCCGCACCAATCGGCAACCGTCGCTGGGCAAAGGGGAGGGGGTGAGTGACACCAATCAACATCTGTCGCTGAGTAGCCACACTCGGATGGTAGACGGGCTGTGAGGGCAACACCATTATCTGCCAGTTACAGTAGCTAGTCACTGTCACTTATGAGCGATACGAATTAAATCACTCTCCGTCACAGTCAATAGCCTCATCTTCTAGCTAGCCCTGTCTATGTACAATTGTATTGTTCCATTCACCCAACACGGATAATCTCCATTCCAACACCACATATCAGAATCCTTGCACCTGTCGTACCATCGCCCGTGTCCAACACAGCCATACTCGACACGTCTGCGACACTGGTCTTGATCTTGCCTAGCCTCCGGATCTTCAGGGCGTCTTCGGTCACCGGCCGACTGCTACTCTCGCCTTTCGCGTCTGGATCTTGTAGTGTGATTTCCCATTGCCTGACCCACTCGTCATTCCCAGATGTAAAAAGCGTTATGTGAGACCCGCGCCGATACAATGCGCATGCTGTGACAGCCGATGCATGTGTGCGATTTACGAGTATAGGAGGAGAAGCGTATGATGTCGTAGGCGACGCTGTAAGTGAGGGTGAAGAGCGCATAAGCAAGAATGCCAGGCTGCCATCATCGCCGCCGGACACAACCAGTGTGGTGTCATTATCCAAGCTTTCAGACACCATAACCTTGGAAGAGTTTTGGTGTATCTTTGCAGGGTTATTCCACGTCAATTTGGATATGGTATCCGGAGATTCTGCAGACAAGCCATGTGTCTTATCTGGTAGTGGCCATGTCACAGCATGACCGTCTGTACCAGCCGTCAAGATCGTGGTTGCAGACAAATGTACGCACTGTGTAAGACATGATGTGAAATAGAGACCTTTGGCGAGAGGCTCCCACTTCGTGGCAGCTTCAGCATGGTAACGATAGGCCTGGAATATATCAATACCAGAACTGCAATGGGGGTCAATAGAGCAGGAATTCTTACCTTGATACTAGAATCTGAGAACACCATTGTGATCAAATGGGCAGTGTCGCAGGTCGTCACATCGAAAGACATGATTCTCAGATCTGCATACTCGCTTTCTGGGGTATAGACACTCTCACAAACGACACCAATGTCAAGAGACGATGATGGTAAATCCCGGACACGCCACACATAGACTGCGGCAATGGTTAGCAAGTTGTACCGTCGTTTCTGTGACTCGAGAATGAGAAACCGGAACTTACATTCTTCGCATCCGCCGCTACTGAACAGATAGTCGCCATTCTCTGACCACTGGAGATGTTGGATACCGGTCGTGTGTTTTCTGAGCGTCTTTCGACAAACCAGACTTCCCTCGGTATACTGGAATAATTTAATATCCGTGTCTTCAGCGCCTGTGGCGATGAGACGATTGCGAGTCCTTGTACAGTCCTTGGACGATACGGTGAGCGCTTTGATTTCACGCCCATGACCACCAGACCGGATGACTGTATGGTTCATACCATGTTGGCTATAAATATGCATGCTAGAGGCTCTAGTCCACACAAGTGTTCCTCCCAGTGTTGAATATGGACGATATGTCCAGCTTCTATGCGCACCTCCTGTGTCGATGCTCATCACCTCTTCTTCGTTGGTGACATCGTAGAGATACCATTTCTTACTCGAGAAGCCATGAACAAGTAGACGATTCTCCTGCAAATATAGGCCCTCTAGATTAGGACCAAATGGCAGGGCAAGGTCGTGAACTAAGGTGCTGGACCCTGTAGACAGATCCATATCATGCACAGTAAGACGTCCATCCCGTCCAGCTGAGTACAATTGGGCCCGGGATGGCTCTGTAGGATAATCGATCCATTTCAAACAAGTGACTGTCTCCCCGCTATGTGCTTTCTCGATGACCTTGACCAACGTGGCTTGGCCTTCGTCCACATCAATGCTGTACAAGGCAATGGAACCACGTCGAAACCCAACAGCTATGAATTCTCTATTAGAGATTCTTAGATGGGCCATACTGGTGACAACAAATCCCGTCAAATGATCTGATATAGGTACTTGTACGTGTTTTGATATCTCCGTATCGTGCGTGGGATCCACATATAGCAACTGCGCTTTGCCCTGCCCAACAAGCGTCACGAGTAACACTGTTGCATTCTGGCAGGAAGATCCAAGCACATCTGCGGCGAATATTTCGCCGACCTTACTGCCCATTGCATACAGTTTGGACAATGTCGCGGCATCCTTATGGTAAACATAGATGCTGCCGCTAGCCCCTGCGATAAATGCAATGCCAGGTTGAGAGCTACTTGCACAAACAGAATAGCCGGCAAGATCTTCGGGCTGTCCAAGGAGGGTAGCGCTTGACAGAAGGCTTGTGTCATTCCGATCCGAATCAGAAGATAGGGATGCCACCAAAACTTTGCCAGAATTGGTTGTAAGTAGGAATGTAGTCTCGTCTACAAAGCAATAGCTTCTGAAAAATTCTGCCTTTTTCGAGGATTTTTGAACACTGGTGGATAGAGCATCTGCGCTACCAGAAACAGTAGACTGTGTCCATGATAGTACATCATTCACTGTGTATTCGGCGATACCGTGAGGTATATTGTTTACAGCCTGTAAAACTCGAGGCAGCGGTGTGGACGTGATCTTGCTGTCGGCCCCTCCAGCTATCACTTGCTGCGATCCGGTGGGATTATGAGCGATGATTGAAGACCACATGTTCTTGCCACTGTGGTGTGCGGCACAGTCCAGCTCTAGTAATTTGTATGGAAGATTGGATTTATCTGCAGAGTTTGGCGAAAGCTCCCAAGTCCTTGCTGTGGCGTCTTCTCCGGCTGATTGAAGTAAAAGCGACCCACTACAGGGCGATGTTTTGAGAAAGCGTATTGTCCAGACGCGGGAAAGATGTCCCCAACCGATGGCTAGACAATCTGAACTGCCAAACTCGTGGGCGTCAAAAGCCTCGTTGCTGAAGCCAGTATGACGCGTCCTTGATACTTCAGCCTCATTATCCTCAGCTTTTGGAGTGGTAGCATTCGTATTAACATCTGAGACATCCCATACGCGAATCGTTCGATCATCACTGCAACTTGCGACCACTCGCCTCAATTTCTGGCAGCACTCGGTTGGGAGCTCCTCAGAAATACGTACACCAAAGATGGATCCTTCGTGACCGAGAAACACGCGGTGGATAAGAGATGCCTGGCCGTCAACATTGTCATCAGACCATGACCAATAAATGATCTCGCCAAATGCCGTGCCAGCAGCGACAAGGACCCGATTCAGATTTTCCCAGAACAGGTGCGCAGAGTAAAGGATAGATCGAGAACTCGATGTCAAGCCTGAGATATTGACTGAAATCGGTCTGAGAAAAGTATGTCAGTGAATGTATCCCGATTGAGCGAAGATAGCGTCAGGGATGCGCACCTGTCTGCCGTCGCTGTATCTGTGTTTTTCTGGACCGTCACCTGTAGCAGAGCATTATGAGCGGTAACAGCAACACAAATTCCTTTTTGATACGGCGTGTCATCAGTCAAACTTGCTGGTCTAGGTGCAAGATCAAAAATCCAGTCTGGCGCTTTAGCAACGTTGGACGAAAAAAAAGTCAAGCAATCATGATCATCAGTCACCGAATAGATCTCGACGGCACGGACTAGTCGCCCTCCCCAGGTGATGAGCTTGATGAGACGCGCATGCTCCTCCGAATAGATGCGTATACCGTGCACTGCCTGCGCCTTGAAGACGCGCTGCGAAGCAATGCATCGTGAGTTCTTGGCATGATAGAAGCGCAGAAATGGGCCTTCTGCGGCAATGTATAGGGAACCACACGAGGCCAATGCGGTCACGGGTACGCGAGTGCATTCATGCTGCTTTGATCAGTAGCAGTCTAGGCTTTTTCGATGCGCTCTCACATGCAGAGTCGGTGACATTGGCGACGAAGGGCGACACGTGAGGTGCGAGAGTATGGCAGATGGAAATTTGGGGTTGAGTCAGCCCCGCGCGACTTCCGTTGCGAGTGCAAGGCGGGGCAATGACGAAGCGTTTCTGGGATTTTTTGTCCATGCTATTCTATGCGCCTGAGTGGCGGCACACAGCTCACACCACAACCACCCATCTTTTTATTTGCACTCACCACCACACCGATATTTGCGCATAATCCGTCAAAATGGCTCTAGCAGGTCCAGCAGGCACAACCATCAACCCGGAAGAGACGGAGAACTTCGAGGAGGTACGTGGGGCGGGCACCTCAGCGCGAAAGCCGGTGCAGACCGACTAACAAAGGCATAGATTGAGAAGCAGTTCGCCGTCAAAGGTACAGCAAGCTACGCACATTGAACGCGACTCCTTCTAATACGAATGCGCAGTTGTGCAGCACATGGAGACATACTGGAAGATCCTTGAAAAAGTCCCAGGTTCCAAACTGCGACTGACGAAGATCGACGATGAAATCTACGAACACCTTAAGAAGGACTTCCCCGAGTTCGACGCCTCCGCCACATTGAACGAGGATGAGATGAAGAGCAAGGAGGGCAAGGAGCGGTGGCGCAAGTTCATCAGCGAGTACGAGCACAAGGTCGAGGACTACAACTTCGGCACCATGCTCCGCGCAAGCCCCAAGACCGAGTACGACCAAGAAGGCACCATATTTGCTGTTCGCATGCAGTTCTACGCCATCGAAATCGCACGGTCAGTTTGCCCCGCCTGTAAAATTCCAATCAGTACTGATTTGAACAGCAACCGCGAAGGCTTGAACGACTGGATCTACGAGAAGGCACAGGGAAAATAATTCAAATATAACAGTTTGCACGATATAGATACCCAACCCCATCTGCAGGGAGTTCAAACGTGCACCTGCACTAGCTACATGCAACCTGCGGCTGGTCTAGCCTTCGACCAAACCAATCAGAAAGTTGGTTCTTTCTTTGTCTACACCTATTCCTGAACAAGCGATCGTTGACGTCGGCAAATCGTCCGAGATGCTCGAACGTGTTGAGGCTACATCAAAGCCGCTTCATGTGCAGTTGCTTGATTCTGCTCACTCATGTCACAAAAGCAT